TAATGTCACCAAGTGCCTCGTCACCTACAAATTGGCGCCTATGTCAGTGGTCTAATAACTCTTAGCGCGCTAATGGCATAGTTCCCCTGCCGCATAGAGAGTTGCCGCAATGATATTTGGTTAGCTAAGGTCAGTTATCTGACTGGTGGGAAACGGGAGCTTCAGCATTGACTATTATGTACGCATTTTTATGATGTTATCTAACAACAATGGTGTGTAGTGTTTACACGATCATGTTTCTAATTCTAATGTGTTGTAAATATAATTGAAAGCATTTGAAAAGTAAGATTCTAGTGTTTTGTATATCTAAAAACATAAGTAAACATCTACATTTGAAAACATTCAAACAACGTTTACTTTAAACGTTTTGTACATCTGAAAACATCAGAGAACAACAAACACGAAGTACAATTGAAAACATCCGAACAACGTTTAGTTCTAACGTTGTGTACATCCGAAAACATCCAAAAATGTTTGGTTCTAGCATCGGGAAACATCTACGTTAGAAAACATCAGAATACATTTACATATAAAAACATCCGAACAACGTTTAGTTCTAACGTTTTTTACATCCGAAAACAACCGAAAAACGTTTGATTCTAACATCAGGAAACATCTACATTAGAAAACATCAGAATACATTTACATATAAAAACATCCGAACAACGTTTAGTTCTAACGTTTTTTACATCCGAAAACAACCGAAAAACGTTTGATTCTAACATCAGGAAACATCTACATTAGAAAACATCAGAAAACGTTTACATTTAAAAACATCCGAACAACGTTTAGTTCTAACGTTTTTTACATCTGAAAACATCCTTAAAACGTTTGATTCTAATGTCAATAGATTGAAATTTTTGACGTCAGACCGACATTAGAATGGCAAAATTTTGTTCCAAAATTTCTGATGTATACACCATGTTACGTTGCTTAAATACAACTAAATCATAATGTTTTCTAATGTTTGACATCAGGCATACATTTGATTTCGATGCTGATGTAGACATCAAAATCAAACGTTGGGCTAATGTAAATTTCTATTCGGGTCTATAGTCTGAACGTACTATAAGCATAGAGGTAACTTTAAGACCAGAAGGTCCCGAAGAAACGAGCTCAACTTTTTGGCTCAGCTCTGGTACTATCTTCGGTCCCAAGCTAATCGATTCACCTCTCGAAACATAGGAAAATCCACTAACCCCTCATTTTATCTGTCAAACTTTCATAGCGAATCAAGACAAACATTGTGAAATACTAGAATTTTGACTAGAATGGGATACTTTAATCGTTTGCTTGGGACCAATAGGCTAGTCAAGTAGTGAGCCAATTTAAAATCGTTAGTTTCGTATTGGTTGTTGCTATAAGACTAGTAGGTCCCGAAGAAACGTGCTCAACTTTTTGGCTCAGCTCTGGTACTCCTTTCGGTCCCAAGCTAATCGATTCACCTCTCGAAACATAGGAAAAACCACTAACCCCTCATTTTACCTGTCAAACTTTCATAGCGAACCAAAACAAACATTGCGTAGTACTAGAATTTCGACTAGAATGGGGTACGTTAATCGTTTGCTTGGGACCAATAGGCTAGTCAAATAGTGAGCCAATTTAAAATCGTTAGTTTCGTATTGATTGTTGATAATATGATTTGAATAAATAAATAAATTCGGACGGCGCCGGTGGTTCAGGGGTAAGCCTAACTGCATGCTCAGTGCCCAGTGTAGGTCTGGATTCAATCCCAGCCGAGGTCATTGGAATTCTTCTGTAGTTACCATAGAGGTTACTAAAAGACCAGAAGGTCCCTAAGAAACGTGCTCAACTTTTTGGATAAGCTCTGGTACTATCTTCGGTCCCAAGCTAATCGATGCACCGCTCGAAACATACGAAAATCCATGAACCCCTCATTTTATCTGTCAAACTTTCATAGCGAATCAAAACAAACACAGTGTAGTACTAGAATTTAGACTAGAATGGGGTACGCTAATCGATTTGCTTGGGACCAATAGACTAGTCAAGTAGTGAGCCAATGTAAAATCGTTAGTTTCCACCGGTTGCTAATACCATAGAGGTAACTCTAAGACCACTGGGTCCCGAAGAAAATCATTATTATTTTTGGCTCACTCAGTACCAGAACAACGGTCCCAAGCAGTCCCAAGCTATTTCACTCACCCCTGCATGTTCTGCATGAATCCACACACCCCTGATGTTATCTGTCAAACTTTCATAGCGAATCAAAACAAACATAGTGTAGTAATAGAATTTTAACTAGAATAGGGTACGTTAATCGTTTGCTTGGGACCAATAGGCTACTAAAGTGGTGAGCCAATTTAAAATCGCAAGTTTCGTATTGATTGTTGCTAATACTAAGACCAGGGTGTCCCGAAGAAACATGCTCGATCTTTTGGCTCATGAAGTACCAGATCTTCGTGTCGTGTGCTGGCGGTCTCTTCACGGTTAAATCTAGCGCTCTACCTACATCGAATATCGACGCAACAATCTCAAATCAAGCCTTATATATAACATGGTCTTATATCTCTTCATTGGTCATATTAATATTTATCTGCAGCGCCTTACGGTTTTTGGCGACACGACGTCATCAGTTATTTTTTTTCAGTTTTGTACCAATACGTTTTGGGTAATTTTTAATAAATTACCAGCCATCTCTGATCCATAAAGAACGTTCTACTAATTGACATAAATCTAATGTAAATTCTAGTAACGCCCTAATCACAATTTACTCCGGATCTACTGTCAAATACATACAAACCTTTTTTTTATTGTTCCACTATCGAAAAATCCGTGCAAAGCGAAAGGCGAAACAAAATGTATGCCTAAACAAGCTTAAAAATTGATTCGCTCTTTCCTTTGTTTACGATAGTACAGAGCGCAATTTTGAAACATATAAATGAACGGGCAAAATCAATGTTGTTAACCAGAAAATAGTAAAAGGCTCATCTTTAACTGAAACGTTACGCATTTACGGGTGAAATTATAAAAATCACAAGTTTTCCAAGAGAACGTGAATAAAAATGGGATTTCACACTCAACACAAATAAAAATGAATCAATTTTAAGATCATAAATTCAATTCCATTGGAAAAATATTGCTTTACCTCGTGCTTTACCACATATTAAAAATTAAATTAATACATGCAAACTTGCTCGGTTTTTCTACATTTGTGTACATTTTGCTAGTTGCGCCCTAATCACAATTTAGTCCAGAGATCTTTGCCTGCTCTGTCTGATTGCAGGTAAATCTTCGTTTGTTTACATTTTGCTAGTTTCGTCCTAATCATAATTTACTGCGGAATTACCGCAAACGAGAAATTGCAGATGGCTTTCTTCGATAATACCAACAATCAATACGAAACTAACGATTAGCCTATTGGTCCCAAGCAAACGATTAACGTACCCCATTCTAGTCGAAATTCTAGTACTACGCAATGTTTGTTTTGATTCGCTACACGCTAACTTGAAAGTACCCATTAATGGTTGAAAAAGACCCATTTTGAAGAAAAGTGGCTTAACTCATTAAATGAGTAAATTTTTTACCCATTAATGAGTATCTGTTACCCATTAATGAGTAATTGTTAATCATTAATGGGTAACAGATACTCATTAATGGGTAAAATTGTTTGATCATTAATGAGTTAAGCCACTTTTCTTCAAAACTGGTCTTTTTTTACTCATTAATGAGTACTTTCAAGTTAGCGTGTATGAAAGTTTGACAGATAAAATGAGGGGTTATTGGTTTTTCCTATGTTTCGAGGGGTGAATCGATTAGCTTGGGACCGAAGAGAGTACCAGAGCTGAGCAAAAAAGTTGAGCACGTTATTTCGGGAGCTTCTAGTCTAGGGTTATATTGAATATATATACACACACATCGTCATCATGTCAAAATTTCTCTATTTCTCTACTTGCACCAACATTTAATCGTCTACACAGATTCCAGTACGAGAATCAACTTAGTATTTTAGGTGCACTTCCACAGTTATTAATTGAGAGCTTTCGATGCCTGCACTATTTTTGCAAATTTCAAAACGATACATATATAAGCAACGCGTTTCTATCCAGATTTGAATTAAAACTCGATTTTGGTTATTTTATTACTTAGGACCTTATGCAATGTTTGGCTTGAATTGTGTGGCAATTACAATCATATTCTATGCCCAGGGAAGTCAAGAAATTTTCCAATCCAAAAAATACTCCGACCGGACCAGAAATCGTACACAGTCACCTCCACCTGGTCTTGCTTTGTAGCTGCGCCTTTACCGACTGAGCTAAGGGAGGCCCCAATCAGGTAATCAATTTAAATCAAACGATTCAATCATTTCATTGAGCTTGGTTTTAGATATATAATGTTTACCTGTAAATAACTGAAATCCTTGATGAAGCAGATGGCAATACTTATCCTATCATCTTCCACACACTTATTTTTTTTCGCCGAGATTCCAACAGCCGAGTGATTCTGCAATTTATTTTGCTGAGATTCAGTAAAACAATTGCCGAGACTCAGCTAACAAATAAAATTTTGCTGAGATATCAGCTAACAAACAGATAATGTGCAGAGATATCGGCAAAGGCAAATGCCGAGGTAATCGGCTGTTGGAGATTTTACCGAGCTAGATTAAGTGTGCATTTGACAGATAACATGGAATTCCAACCAGAACATGACGTCTCTTTATATATTCTAGGCTCTTTAGTTTATAGGAGAAACCATCGAGGCATTAAGAAAAGCTTCACATATACAATTTAATTACAATAAAATGTATAGTCAACAATAGAATTTATCGTATTTTTATAATATATGCTGTATTGTAATGTTTAAAATATTCAACAACTTTTGCTTCCGCAACTAAGTTTCAGCCCACTGTGCAGAGGTGGATTCTGTTTATCACGCGCTGTCACAAACCGTTTGGCAACACTTGCCTCTCACAAACGCGAAAGAAGAGCGTTGCAAATTGTCAAACAAACTAAAAACAAAACGCACGTTCACGTTTGCATGCGAGGTTTGCAGTTTCGCGAATCGCGAACAATTTCCGTGCACCCACTTTCGCGTATCGTGCGTGGCCCAGCTTTCGCGGAACTCTAATAACATTGGAAAGTAGTGTTATCATAAATTAGTGAACCACCCACGCGCACGCAATGAAGTGTCATTACGAGGTGCTGAACGTCGCCCGTACGGCCGAGGAAGATGAAATCAAGAAATCGTACCGCAAGCTAGCGCTCCGCTGGCATCCGGATAAGAATCTGGACAGCTCGGAGGAAGCTAATCAACAGTTTCTACTGGTGCAGGCAGCGTACGATGTGCTGTCGGATCCCCAGGAACGGGCCTGGTACGATAACCATCGAGAGCAGATTCTGCGAGGAGGGCATACGAACTATGAGGACAATTCGGTGGATTTGTTCCAGTATTTTACGACTTCGTGCTACAAAGGTTTTGGGGATGATAAGGGAGGATTCTATGGGTTTTACGGTGAAGTGTTCCATACGATATCATCGGAAGAGATTGAGTTTCTGGAAAACGAGGAGGATTTCGATGCGATTCCAAAGTTTGGTAATTCGAAGAGCGATTACGAAACAGAGGTCCGGTTGTTTTATGCGTACTGGGAGGGATACTGCACGAAGAAGAGCTATGCATGGCTGAATCCGCATAATATAAGCGAAATCCGAGATCGGAGAGTGCTGAAGGCGATCGAGAAGGAGAACAAGAAGGTGCAACAGAAGGCCAGGAAGGAACGGAACGAGGAGATTCGCTCGCTGGTGATGTTTGTCAAGAAGCGAGATAAGCGTGTTCAGGCGTATAAGAAACTGTTGGAGGAAAGGGCGGAGCAGAACAGGATAAAATCACAACAGAATCGACTGGAACAGATTAGGCGAAAGCAGAAGGAGATTGAGGAGCAGCAGAAGAACTCTTCCAATGTGTTTAACGAGGCTTACGAGGAACAATTGAGGTATGATCTTCACAGGAAACATAGCGTGTGTTTGGTATTTTGTTGAATGATGTTTAATTTTAGGAAATTGGAAGAATCGTATGCTGACGCATCGGAAGAATCTTCGAATGAGGAAGAAGAAGCTATACAGGCAATGGGAGACGCTATGACTGGATTGGTTATCAGCCAAAATGAAAACGGCGAGGAGACTTTCTACGTCGACGATCTCTACTGTGTGGCATGTGATAAGATGTTCAACAATAAGAAATCTTATGAGAACCACGAATCTTCCAAGAAGCATAAGCAAAATGTTGAACTGCTCAGAGATCAAATGCGGAAAGACGATTTGGCAGCCGGAGGGCGGGATAATCAAGAGGCATCACCACAAAAGGACGAATCTTTAGGAGATATGAGTAACGAAGACGATGACGAGGAAGAGCTAGCGATGGTGAAGCCTAAAAAGGGTAAAAACAAGAAAAAGCCAGTCAAACAGCTACCATTCTCAGACGAAGAGAAGGAACACATCGATATCCTTCTCCCTGCTGCTCCGAAAGAAGAAAGTGACGATGATTGGGGCGGCTCGAAGAAAGCCAAAAAAGGAAAAGCGAAAGGTAAAGAAGGAGGAGCAAGTAAGGTCAAAAACGGTATTGCAGCCAAGGAAACTACTGTAGAAGAATCAGCAAAGCCTGAAACAATACCGGAGAAACCATCGGAACCGGTAGAAGGAGATTCAGTTGATCATAAATGCGTCACTTGCAACGACAAGTTTAACTCTAAGAATAAACTGTTCAATCATCTCAAACAGACCGGACATAGTGTCTACGTCGATAAGGTCGATAAGCTTAAAGCACAGAAATCTGAAGGAGAAAAGACCAAAGGAAAGAAGCGGAAATAGTAGCATAGCATCAATCAAACACCATCCTGTAAATATAACATGACATGTTAGACTTGTAATGTTCCTTCATAAAATATACTTCCCTAGACTTCTCATTACAATTTAGGGCAACACAATTCATTCATTATACCGAACCAAAATTTATTTCTTCAGAAAATCTGTATTCCTCTCCTAGGCCCGTACGGAAACCGACGGACCAGCCTGACCCTGAACACCGGCCACATTCTCGTAATCCCGTGGTGCAAAGTGTACTTGACGCTCGACACCATCCTTGGTGATGATGCCAATACGGCAGACGCCACCGGAGCTTCCGTCATGATACATTGCGTGGAAAACAGCCTTCTTGACGAACTCGACGCATTCATCCTTGGGCATTTGCTCGCGGTAGTGCTCTTTCACGAATCCATAAATGTAGGAACTTCCCGAGCCACCAATGGTGACACTCTGGCGGATCTGCATTCCACCTACCGGAACCGAATAGACCTGTCCTCCCTGCTTGTTATCGAACCCGGCGACGATGATTCCGGCCATCAGCGAGTCGCGATAGTTGTAACAATACTGACGGAACTCGTTGGCTGCGTCCGAAACCAGTGGTTCCTCGCCAGTCTGATTCCTAATGAGAATCGCAATGTTTTGAATAATAAACTTTAAAATACAACATAATTACAAACAGAACTTACTCATGATAGTTCAACGAATAAGCCACAATGTCGGCGATGGCTTGCGTATCAGCAGCCGATCCGGAGCGACAACAGTAGATCTTATCGGTCAGCTTGGTCAACTTGTCCGTCACACGGTTGGCGACGTATGTTCCCGTACTGGTGCGCGAATCGGCTCCGATAACTACTCCACCGTCGAATTCCACGGCCATAATCGTAGTCTGGAATAAGCGAATCACACAAGCAACAGTGAGATGCAAAAACAGATCGAACCCTAACCTATTTCCAAGGCGATTCCGAGATGATTGTTTTGTACTTACACCGGTGCTGTGGTGAGCGTTTCTCCAGTCGTTTGAGTAATCCATATCCATGATGATAAGTTTATTGTTTAACTTAAACGCTTAAATTCGAAGAAAACTGTAATTTCTGTGTGAATTGTTAAGGACTTGAACACGAATAAAATTGTTTACACCGAATCCAGAGCAATCAGAAAATAATGACAAGGCGAGTTTGGTCGTTTGGTGCTCATGAGATTTTGACTGCTGCTCTGACAGCTGAACCGAACTCGATAGGGTTCCCAGGGTTGGTTTAGATGGATGTGAAGTAGTACGAAACTCCCTGGGCAGTATCATCGGCCAGTATCACATAAAGCCCTCTAGTTAAAGTATGGACGACTGTCACCACAAAACGCGAACCATATTTTGACCTTACGGAAAATGGTTGAAAATTGTTTATAATCCCTGCTGAACTTTAACTGAAATGGTTGTGGAACTTTACATGAACGTTTGTGTGATAAAGTTTTAACCTTATGTATTATGGTTTTTGGGAAGTGAACCTTACAAATAATGGGTTGTTAAGAACCGTTACCATTCAAAATTTTTGTTTTCTTCATACATTTTCGGAATGAAAACTATATTAGATCCTTTTTACCTAAGGTTTGAGAATTTTAATGCTAATGGTTATGGTATTCAATAAGGTCCATAGATGGTTTTGTATTGTCGGTCAATTTTACGTGGAATATATCGTGAAATGGTAATAATTCATATACAGACAACCTATTCGCGATATATTCCACATAAATTTCATCGATGTTAGAAAACCATCCACACAGAAAAAAAAAATGTAATATCGATCAATGTAATTTAAGCTGATGTATGAAATAATGATGTGTATGTATGTATGTAAGAAGCCACCATCCTCTAGCTTGGATGCAAGCAAGATTGTCGTTATCAATATGAATTCAACATACTGCTGTATGAAGGGCCAAAATGGGTTGGACGGGCCCGTAAGCAGAGACACTTATACCATAGAGATAACTCTAAGACAAGTAGGTCCCGAAGAAACGTGCTCAACTTTTTGGCTCACCTCTGGTACTACACACAAAAAATAAAAATAGTTTTAGTAAAAATATCACATTTTTAAATTAAAAGTTTCCCGAATTTCGTGATATTAACTACGAAAATATTCACCGCAAATGTTATTCTTTTAGTTTAAAAGTTGATCTTTCACATTCTACTTTCTATTTTTAAAAGTGTGATCTTTCAAAAGAAAAGTCAAAATAACCTCTGTATGTTTTCTTTCATACGACAGTTTCGCGCCAAAATTAACTTTGTATGACATTTCTGTATTTGATATGCTCCAAGCGGTATTATCATTGGATAAGAATCCGTTCAACCTTGTCTTAATATATGATATCGGATGATGGAGTGATACTACCCGACTCTGTTCAAACATTTGACAGAGCTTTTAAGCAGGGGAAGTTAATAAGAATATAGTTGAATCAAGTGCTAAATGGAATCTGTACTTCATCCAAGTGTGCAGAAGTTGTCATTGCCTCTCGTGAAATGATGAAATATACCTAGCTTATCCGTTATATACGAACGTCCAACGTTGTCAAGGGACCACGCTTATAATGTCCCCGGATTCAACCATTACAGTAAGTGTTAAAACCTTTAAATCGAAATGAAAGTAAACACCACAGCACCAACCATATAAATATGCTTTCTGCTTCTAGGTCTGCACTGTGAGGATGACGATGCGAAGATGAGGAAACCCAAAGGATGAGCTCAGTTTCACATCACCCGGGAATGCTAATGAACATACCGTTTCCATAGTTTATTCCTAGTTAATGTCAAGGTAGGTTTCTGAACATTTTGATAGTACTAAAATACTAAATTCACTATAATTATTCACTTTCAGGTACGACGAATATCAGCATATTCAAAAAAATAATATCATAGCACTGGCACTACGTATACGCTTGGAATATTCTATTTTGAAGGCACAGATTGCTCCCCTTTGTACAACGCCCGGGCATCGTCATGTCGACCACCTGCTAGGATTTCCATAATGCACAGGTTCTCTCTGCGGGAGTACTTCTTGCTGTTCTGTTCCGACCAAAAAGGGTTTTTCGGGATGACGACCGTCTTCGGTGCTTCCTCCTTCGTTTTTAACTAACTAACCATGTCAAGAAAGTCAACCGTGCCACTGCCGAGAACGACAGAAACTGCTCAACTCAAATGTCGTGGGTGACGGATGTTAATTGGCCCGAAGCGGAAACCCATTCCATTTCCAGAGATAATCCACCGACGTTGACTATCTGACTCTTACTGGCAGACAGCTCTGGAGTAGCATTATAGCTTAACTACGATATAAAATGTAAAATAACAACTATAGATGTTAATAAACATGTTTATGGACCTTGCAATCTGTTGTTAAAAACTTTCAATAAATATTTAAAGGCATATAAAATCGAGTATAAAATGACAATAGAAGCTTTAATATAAAACATACTTGTTTTTAAATTAAAATCGTTCAAGTATCACCTCGACAGTCCTACCAACAATCAATACGAAACTAACGATTTTAAATTGGCTCACCACTTTAGTAGCCTATTGGTCCCAAGCAAACGATTAACGTACCCTATTCTAGTTGAAATTCTATTACTACACTATGTTTGTTTTGATTCGCTATGAAAGTTTGACAGATAACATCAGGGGTGTGTGGATTCATGCAGAACATGCAGGGGTGAGTGAAATAGCTTGGGACTGCTTGGGACCGTTGTTCTGGTACTGAGTGAGCCAAAAGTAATAATGATTTTCATCGGGACCCAGTGGTCTTAGAGTTACCTCTATGGTCCTACCAACAATCAATACGAAACTAACGATTTTAAATTGGCTCACCACTTTAGTAGCCTATTGGTCCCAAGCAAACGATTAACGTACCCTATTCTAGTTGAAATTCTATTACTACACTATGTTTGTTTTGATTCGCTATGAAAGTTTGACAGATAACATCAGGGGTGTGTGGATTCATGCAGAACATGCAGGGGTGAGTGAAATAGCTTGGGACTGCTTGGGACCGTTGTTCTGGTACTGAGTGAGCCAAAAATAATAATGATTTTCTTCGGGACCCAGTGGTCTTAGAGTTACCTCTATGGTCCTACATTTTTAGTTTGACATTTCTACAATTCAGTTAAAAAGTTCCGACTTTTAAAAATATGAATAAGTGACGTTTTTGATTCAAGAATGTGGAAGCTTTTACTTTAAAATGTTTCCGCTTTCTACCAAAAAGAACCAATGCAAACTTTTAATTTCGCCAACGACTTTTTTAATTTAGCTAAGAATTTTCTTTGTGTGTATCTTCGGTCCCAAGCTTGTCGAATCACCCCTCGAAACGTAGGAAAAACCAATAACCCCTCATTTTATCTGTCAAACTTTCATAGCGAATCAAAACAAACATTGCGTAGTACTAGAATTTCGACTAGAATAGGGTACGTTAATCGTTTGCTTGGGACCAATAGGCTACTAAAGTGGTGAGCCAATTTAAAATCGTTAGTTTCGTATTGATTGTTGCTTATACCCCGTTCACATTACAGCGTATATCACGTGATATACGCTGTCTTGCAATGAGCACTCATACATCTAGTTTTCACTGGAAATGATATGTATGAGTGCTCATTGCAAGACAGCCTATATTACGTGATATAGACTGTAATGTGAACGGGGTATTACCACAAACGAAGTTACAGACGACTTTCTCCGAAGAAATTAATTAAAATAAGGTGGTTCTCTGTAATAGAATTTTAGACCACTTTCCGCCGCTCACCGCCAGGTTCGCTAGTATTTTTGATTTGAATTAATTCAAGTTGGTTTTGTGTGCAATGATCTGGCAACTCGCGTTCTCACTCGCGTTGACGGGGTGCTGTTTTCTCACTCATCGAAGGAAATTTTGATTAGAGTGAGAAAGTAAGGAACAGTCAGCGCGGGAACCGTGTGCGGTACTATAGGTGCGGCAGAAAGAATGTAGTCGATTCCTTCGTTCTCACGGTGTTCTTACGCATAATCCAACGTTACGTCACACTAGATTATGCATAAGAACGTCGTGATAATGAAAGAACAAAGTTTGTATGTTTGGGAGCCTCTCGCATTCAACTCGCATTCGTCCTCGAGTTCGTGTGGAAGCCATTCAGAGCGGAGGTGGCCAGGAGCGTGGCATTCGAAGTGGAACCGTTCCGACTCCACTGGTCGTTGGATTGGGGGAAGCCTGTGAAATCGCTAGCCGTGAAATGGAGTACGATCACAAATGGATGGAGTTCCTCTCGAAACGCCTGATGGACCAAATCTTCGCATCGCTACCGAAAGTCATCCGCAATGGCGATCCAGTTCATTCTTATCCCGGATGTATCAATCTGTCGTTTGCATACGTTGAGGGTGAATCGCTGTTGATGGCGCTGAAAGACGTTGCCCTCTCGAGTGGGTCGGCTTGCACTTCGGCTTCGCTGGAACCGTCGTATGTGCTGCGTGCGATTGGTGCCGACGAAGATCTGGCTCACAGCTCGATTCGCTTTGGCATCGGACGGTTTACCACCATCGAGGAAATCGACTACATAGCTGAAAAGTGCATCAAGCACGTGACTCGACTCCGAGAGATGTCCCCGCTGTGGGAGATGGTCCAGGAAGGTATCGACATCAAGTCGATCCAGTGGTCGCAGCATTAGAGCGGACGGGTCGGGGCATATTTTAAAGAGAGATTTGATTTTGTATGTTCTGCTGTGTATGGTTGAATTCAGTGAGGGTTTTTTTTTTAATTGTTAATCATTGATTGTGTTATTAACACATCCACTTTTGGTAGTAAGTAGGTATTGAGACGAGAGAAAAATAATGTATAGCTTTGCTACATATGCTATTAGAGACAGCAATAAATCTTAGACAGTGAAATCATTGTGAGTATTTCATCATTCACTTGGCGAAAAAACTTCCTATCAGCGATTGTTTGAAATAGTATAAACTTTGTTAGTTCCCGTCAAGGACGGCGTTGTTACGACTACGCTAAATTCGCAAATCTGAGGTATTCGTGGACTGCCATCTCAGATTTGCTTTGGCGCGGATTAGTTCCACTTAGGGTTAATTCAACTAAGTTTCGATTCTAATTATTTGAAGACTCCAGGAAAATCTACGTTTAGAAAGACCTTCTATTATTTAATAAAGAAGTAAAGCAGTAAAGTTATTAATAGTTGGTTGGGCAAGCTAAAATATCATTTAAAAAAATGTGTTCAATGTCGATAAGCTTTCCGCAAAATCCGCACTTCAAAAGCTATAAAACCGCACAAAATTTGCGACACTTGTAACAGCCCTGCAGTTGGCTTCGGCGTGCCAGAGAATACCTAAACCACCTAACCGGACCTGAAGAAACGGAAAGGAGCGCGACTGGGATTAGACGGGCTAGCCTTATGAAGCTCTCGACTGACATACAATATAGCATGGTTGCAGCAACCTTATATTTCACCTATTTGTCCCTAAAGATCACTAATTTACACCCGACACCCTAGGTAGGATAATGTCATCGCAAATACCAACAATTCCCGTTGAATACATAGTGCGAAAAATGCTCTTGAATTACCCCAAACCGTCTCATCACAACCTACGCCTCGGTCAGCGTGGCCCGACCGATCGTTTTCGGCATCTTTTTATTGGTGGAATCCTCGAGCTCCTTCGGTTTGTAGTAATGCGGTGCCGCCTCCAGCAGCCACTTGCTTTCGATTTCAATCACCGACCGCATGTACTCCTTCGTCGTAAACACCAGCTCGTGGTACAGCACCCAACGAGGCAGTTCTTCGAACAGTGCCGAATTCGGATGGATCATCACCGTCTGATTGTGCTTGGCAGTTTTGTAGTGACCCCCCCTTGGAGAGCCGAGCGACGTGATAAAAGTACCCGGCTGTAATAGCCTTCCGGATGTTGGTCGTTTCCGGCAGACTGGAAACCATTTCGATTTCGACTCGCTGCATTAACCCAACCAGCTGCTCCCGGACATCGCGAGCTCGTTTCATCGAACGGAACTGAATGAAATTTTCGTAACACCACTGAGTGCTGTAGTCCGATTCGGCCCATTGGTTGTAGACCTGCAGCAAACTCAAGTGGTCCCCGTGCATGTGGTTGAAGTTCTTCCGGGCCGTATCTGCGTGGATGATTTTATCTTTCGGTCGGTAGAAGATGGCTCCATTCACCGATAGCATTGCAGCGATGGCCACCACCTACTCGGAACATTTGTACTTTTCACTAGCAAGCAGCATTTTTGCCATCATGGGATCGACCGGAAATTCCGCCATCCGTCGTCCAAGTTTGGTCAGTTCACCGTGGTGATTCAATGCCCCTAGGGCGTAAAGTTGCTCCAATGCCAAAACCAACGTTTCATGTGGTGGAGGATCGAGGAAATCGAAATGAAGCAAATCGTTGATTCCAAGAGCTTTGAGCATTAGCACGGCATTGCCCAGGTTTATGCGCTGAATTTCCGGGACGGTGTTGTCTTCCAGCTCGTGTTTGTATGCCCAGGCTGTGTACAGACGAAAGCACTTGCCAGGGGCAACGCGCCCTGCTCGACCTGCACGTTGATTGGCAGACGCTTTCGAAATGGGCACGACCATCAGGGTCTCCATCCCGGTTCTGGAGTTAAAATTATTTTGCTTTGCAAAGCCCGGATCGATCACGTACATTATGTTATCGATGGTTAGTGATGTCTCGGCGATGTTGGTGGCCAGTACGACTTTCCGGGCGTTCGGTGGAGTTGGATCGAAAATTTTCGCCTGCATGTCCGACGGCAGATTGGCATAAATGGGAAGGATGAGTAGTTCCTTGAGTTTGGAACCCAACCGCTTGACGCGATCCTGGAGCATCTCCTGGCAGGCTTCGATTTCCTCTTGTCCTGGAACGAAAAAAAAAAATGTAATTTTTTAACATCGCATAGAAATAGACCCACTTACCAGTTAAAAATACAAGAATGTCTCCAAGAGGCTGAGTGGCATGAAGCTGTAGAACCGACACCATACATGCATCGATATAATCTGCTTCCGGTGCTTTGGTGTAGAAGACATCAACCTAGAAGAGAAAAAGTTAGATTTTACAGCAAAACACAAAGCAAGTCAAATCTAACTACGTACCGGAAAACGACGAACAGGAATACGGAATATGTTCGCATCATCGAAGAAATCCGAAAACTTTTTCGCATCCAACGTGGCACTGGAAATCAGTAGTTTCAAATCCAACCGAAACCGCGCAATATCCTTCACCAATCCAAACAGAATGTCCGTGTGCAACGTACGCTCGTGAGCTTCATCGATAATCATCACACTATACGAAGCTAGGTCCGGTTCCGAAAGAAACTCCCTGTGCAACGTACCATCTGTCATGTATTTAATGACAGTCCGCTCGGATGTGCAATCCTCGAAACGAATACTATAACCAACTTCGTTGCCCAACTTGACGCCCATTTCCTGTGCAACACGTGCCGCCACGGACATCGCTGCCACGCGACGAGGGTGAGTACATCCAATCTTCTTGCCGTCGTTTGTAAACCCAGCTTCATAGAGATACTGTGGAATCTGTGTCGTTTTTCCCGAACCCGTTTCTCCTCCTAATAAGAATCTGGTGTTCTTTTATAGCGGCTATGAGATCCTTCTTGAATGGAAAAACTGGAAGTGATTTCTTCGTTTCCTCGTCGGAGTGCCTGGACGAAATCAATCTGATCATCCAACAGCAGTTCATACTCTTCAGCACCAGCACCACTTGCGAACCTCTTCGTTTTTGAAAGTAAATTTCACGCACAGTCTGACGTTTGCTTACGGATTTTACCATAGGAGTAAAGAGCTATAGATTCGCCGTCAAGGCCAATTGGCGTTGACGGCACCGTCGAAAAATTTGCTCTTCCAGAAAATTTAGACAGTTTCTTATGGGAATTTTCGGTGGAGTGAAAGGATAGTACAAAGTCCACCATATTTCACGCACAGTCTGACGTTTGCTTATGGATTTTCTCATAGGAGTAAAGAGCTACAGAGTCGCCGTCAACGCCAATAGCATCAACTATATACTTTAAGCTAGTACATATGAGTAGATAGTGTTGCCGTGAGGTACACTCGAAAATTTCAAACGTAAGTGCGTCAAATCAAATTTTGAGCCGCTCCGTCTGTCACTTCGTTTGTGGTATTACCATAGAGGTAACTCTAAAACCACTGGGTCCCGAAGAAAATCATTATTATTTTTGGCTCACTCAGTACCAGAAAAACGGTCCCAACCAGTCCCAAGCTATTTCACTCACCCCTGCATGTTCTGCATCAATCCACACACCCCTGATGTTATCTGTCAAACTTTCATAGCGAATCAAAACAAACAAAGTGTAGTAATAGAATTTCAACTAGAATAGGGTACGTTAATCGTTTGCTTGGGACCAATAGGCTACTAAAGTGGTGAGCCAATTTAAAATCGTTAGTTTCGTATTGATTGTTGGTACAACCCCATAGGGCTGTCCCTTGTAGTTTTTTTTGTTCAAAGAAAACATCTACATAGGCCCTGAGTCTACAATATTTGTTGTTGAATTCAATGTGATATATTTTTGAAATTAAAATCCATTTCTCTGCGTGTTGTGAGTGATTGCGAGGGATGCGTATGCTTAAGAAATTTATATTTTGTCTTGGATCGGTTTGGACTAGATTTTTTAGCCTTGAAAATCTTAAAGTCATACCCATACCCTTCGAAAAAGGCAAAAATATAAAATTAATTAAAATAGTTCAGGCGTAACATTTGATAACGGTACAAAAGCTTTTGTAAACAAACTTTTTAATGCCCGAAGTACGCTCACGCAAACCAACAACATCATCGGATAGGGGCAATCATCTCCTTTCCGAAAGTGGTATTGGTTTGCGTGGGCGTACTTTGGTTCGCGCGTAGAGGGCCTTGGTTAATATCGATAAATAACGATTTTTTAAACCTTTGACAAGCTTGAAAACAATCTGGCAACGCTGATGAACACGCAGAGCTTATGTGAAACTCACAGGGCAGTTGAAAAGTTAAAATCAAAACAAAACAGACGTAAAATTTGACAACGATTAAACGCGAAACAGCAGCGCGAAGCAAAATCATCGATAGATAGAATCTTCTTTTCTCGGTTTTTATCGAATTTTCCCTCCGCTGTCAAAAAGGTAAACACGCTGGTTCAGAGCGATTATTTTCCTTCTTGTTGTTTCTGCGATTGTGCTGATTAATTTTATAAATTTCCTTCATTGTCGGTTTCCAAATACCCTGCTAAAACATGTCCAGCTACACAGAGGAACATCTTAAGCAAAAGCTGACGGAAAAGCTAGAAGCTACTCATGTGGTAAGTTTTTTTTCTGTACACGTTTACAGTTTTGAGGTGGTGGTTTGGTTGGAAAAGGTGGTGACCCGCTGCATCGCGTTTTCTGTCAGAATCTTCGGTCGTACTCGGTGTTTCGATTTGGGCTGCTTTTAAAATAATGTTCCGATAATATTGGGAAAATTTTACCGAATTGATTCAAGCGTTGGAGTGAAGCTTTCTGTAAATAATTAATATTTCATTAAAATTTTAAAATTGAAGGAAATTTTTTATCAATTTCTAAATAACTTCACATTGACGTTCCGCGGTCATTTGCATTGCCGTGTAAAAAATGTAAAGTGAAGCCGGTGATCCTTTTGTTCCGAATAATCTACAATTTTATGTAAAATACGTGTAAAAATCGATTGTTCCCGATGACCGCGAGTTGTTCCACCTTCGTCACACTGGTGGCCATGGGGATACTGCTTCGTGCAGTCATTTCCCTGTATTCCTATTCCGGGGAGAACAAACCTCCCATGTTTGGTGACTTTGAAGCCCAAAGGCACTGGCAGGAAATTACGGTCAATCTCCCGATCAAGGATTGGTACGAAAACACCACGGACAATGATCTGCTTTACTGGGGTTTGGATTACCCCCCGCTGACGGCGTACCACAGCTTCCTGGTTGGGAAGTGGGCTCAACTAAAAGATCCGTCGTTTGTGGACCTCCATGAATCTCGTGGCATCACCAATGATCGACATAAGGACTACATGCGAAACACTGTCCTACTTGCAGACCTACTGGTATATATCCCAGCGATTTTGGCCGGCTGTTATGCAATCCGGAGGAAAATACTCGGTGGAAGTGTAATGGGCAGCGACGTACTATCCATGTTATTCGCGGTGCTCTATCCGGGGCAGATGCTTATTGACAACGGGCACTTTCAGTACAACAATGTATCGTTGGGATTTGCAGCAGCAGCGATAGCGGCCATACTTATGGAATGGAATCTCCTGGGATCGTTTCTGTTCGTGCTGGCGTTGAACTACAAACAGATGGAACTGTACCACGCTTTGCCGTTCTTCTTCTATCTGCTTCAGTGGTGTTTCCGAAGTTCAAGGGGATTACGTTTCGGAACAGGGATATGGAGATTATTCCAAGTGGGAATGGTGGTCGCGGTGTCCTTCCTGGTCATTTGGAGTCCATGGCTTTGGTCGATGGATTCCCTAAAGCAAGTGGTTCACAGAGTGTTTCCCGTTACAAGAGGAGTCTTCGAGGATAAGGTGTCGAACATTTGGTGCATCGTGAACGTGTTTGTTAAATTGAGGTAATGTTGAATCATTGCAAATGCTGTTCGATTAAATAACGATCGACACTCCTCTTTTCAGAAACTACCCGAATTCTTTCATGGCAATTGTTTGCATGATGCACACACTGCTCGCCGTGTTGCCGAGTGGAGTTCACCTTCTATTCAGAGCATCGAAGAGAAACTTTATACTAGCACTTTTGAACTCTTCCCTCGGATTCTTCCTTTTTAGCTTCCAAGTACACGAAAAGTCTATCCTTCTTGCTGCCCTTCCAGCGCTCCTAATCTTCCAATTATATCCTTTCGAGTGCTTTTGGTTCCTTCAGATAGCCACCTTCAGCATGATTCCCCTTCTCCACAAAGATGGCCTTCTGATGGCGTATCTTGCTCTCCTACTGTTTACCCTTACCCTACTCAATCTTTCCATACATGCATTGAACAATTTCAAACCCGTCGGAAAGATTTCCTTCATAGACATTTTCAACATCGGAACGTTCCTGCAAAGTGACGGCAGCCGAAAATCTGCAAAGCTCAACATAGCGCTGGTTCATACCTTCTACGGATCGCTGGTGGGACAGTTTTTGCTGCTATTTGCCTTCATCTATCTGCAACCTCCACCGCAGTTACCTTTCCTTTGGCCGCTGCTCATCTCCGCCTACAGTTGTGGGCATTTTGTGCTGTTCTTTATCTACTTCAACTATCGACAGTTCTTTTCAAATGATAATGCTGCAGCACCCGTCACAACGAATACGAATGCACAACGTGGCACCACCGCTGGAAAAAAGGCTGAGAAGCGCAAAGTGAAATAAAGAAACTACTGAGAGACTTCCAGAGAGTCCAGTTAGCCTGATTGACTGAATGTTTGAAGAAATCTTGTTGAATTTATTTGTAAGAACAAGGTCTAGCGATCCGCTCTCCTTTCCGTTCTCTCATCTGGTCAATCTGAAAATTTAACTCGCTGTTCGCTGTAGGAAACACTACTGAGTAGCATTTTCAGCTTTGTACACTAAGCGATAGTCAATTTTGTGTCCGAAACAAGGTGAAGTGGTCGTAGAAAGATCTGTCATTCAGAAAGTTAAAATGGCTTAAAGTTAGGACCATTTGGCTTGAAGGTCTGGGATATTCTAAGTCCTAGGTTCTGCACTTCTGCTTTGTTTATCTTTTTTTGCATCCATTACAGGAAGTAACTGACGAATCCGATGGATGTGGAGGAAAGTTCAACGCAGTAATTGTATCGTCTCAGTTTCAAGGCAAGCCACTACTGCAGCGACACAGGTTTGACATAATCTATATCCTGTTATGATCAAAAACCACAATCTTCTCGATTTCCTACTTCCCAGACTCGTAAATGCAGCTCTAGCCGAGGAACTGAAAACAATTCACGCCTTCTCGCAGAAAACATACACACCAGAACAGTGGGCTGCCGAGGGTCACTAGCAGTCATCCCTCACCCGCTAATTTATACCCCTGCCAGTTGTGAGAAACGGTTTCATTTTATAACGTAGCTATTATCTCGAATACAATCTGCACAATGAATACTCTGAATGCCTTCGAAATCTCCGCCCCCGGAAAGGTTATCCTCCATGGAGAGCATTCGGTGGTGTACGGAAAACCAGCAATTGCCGGACCCATTGGACTGAGAACGTATCTCACTTATAAGGTAAAGTCCCCCCACAAAATTATTCTTTCCAATATTTTACTGATCCATCTACATTCTGCAGAAAATAGTACAACCAGAAATTATACTCGACTTCGCTTCGATCCCATTCAGCACAACAGTAACTCTTGAATCGTTCAACGAATTCCTTCAACACTCCAACTGCCACACAGATCTGCAACCGCTGGAGTTCCTTTCGAAACTTCGATCTTCGGAAGATTTCCCTTTCGCTAAATTTGTTTCACCACAACCAAGCAAGGACTCGATCAAGGAACGATTCTCTCTCGGCGTGGCTCTCTACCTGATCAATCGAATCCTTCGATGCGAAGGAGTAAACTCACTGCCATCCACCGGCTTTCAGCTGACAATCAAATCGGTGATGAGCATCGGTGCCGGTTTGGGTAGCTCCGCCGGCTATGGAGTTTGCGTGTCAACCGGTGCCTATGTAATCTCGAAAATAGTTAAAGGAGAATTGACTGCTGCTAGTGCGAGTAGCTTCTCGCTTCAGAGAGGCGATTCTAAAGTGCTGCAGAAAATTTCCCAGTGGGCGTTCGATTCGGAACTGATCATGCACGAACGACCCTCGGGAATCGACAATACGATTTGTACTTATGGGAATTTGATTAAGTTCCGCAAGGGAGAGCCATTCGAGAGCTTGAGGCTTCGGCAGCAGATTCACATTTTGATCGTTGACACGAAAGTGAGCCGAACTACCTCCAAGCTGGTGGCAAACGTGGCAAATCTGAAGGGCAAGCATTCCAAGATGATGGAATCCATTCTGGACGCGATGGGGTACTTGGTGGATGACGTGGTGGACATTTTGGAGGATGAACGTGATCGATTTGAAGAACTGCGTACGTTGGTGGCCGTCAATAATAACCTATTGCGTGCGATTGGGGTGAGCCATCCCTCGCTGGAGAAGGTATTCCAGCTTGCCGACTCGAGTGGATTCAATGCCAAGCTGACCGGTGCCGGTGGCGGTGGATGCGCACTGGTGTTTCTGCCAAAGGACTACGAGAGTAGGAAAGAGTTTGGACAGCTGACGGCAAACATTACCGAGGCGGGATTCAACTGGATGGCCACCACCATCGGCGGCAATGGCGTCGAATTTAGGCCGATTGAATGACGGTTAGGTAAGCGGAAAATATCCAATCAATTTTCGCAGTGACAATAGTAGCATTAGTGAAAAATTTCTCTGGTGATGGGATGAAATTGTGGTAAATGGTGATAGTATTCGGTTGTCTAGCTCAAATAGTTGAGATTTTTTCTCACGAAATCATGGTATTCTTCGTTACAAAATGAAATCGTTTCTTTGTATTTATGCTGCCTCCCGTGTTGTTGATCCTAAAACGTATCCATATTCCTTAAAAAAAAACATAGCAAAGACCACGGTCGAAGATTTTCAAAAAATGATTTGACAATCAGCCCGTGCTCTTAAAACTTAAACCTAGATGACCGTACAATTCGTAGTTGATATTCCTTGATATGAAACAGTAAAATTGCTCATGGATCCAAATGAATGGGGCTTGGGATGAGCTAACCATTCTCTTTGAACATATTCCGGTGGTTCATAGATGCTCAGACTCTCTTATGCTAGGATCCTAGGATTGAACCCACGATGTTCTCAGTAAGCAAAAACGTTCGCTACTAGGTCGCCGAGCTCCTTACATCACAACAAAAACATTTACGACTGACGATCGTTCAAATTTGGGAACATGAAGCTATTCAAATGAAATAAAAGAAGAAAAGATAAACAAGTTAGGATTTGTATCCGAGATACGACTATGTATTGTGTTAGATTTTTATCAATATCTAAAATTTGTGGCCAATGGCCTAACATACTAAATGCCATTCGGATAAAGAAATTCCATCAATTACTTCCCATAAAATTCGTCATAAATTTATATTAGCCCAACTCAGCAATAATCCACAAACATCAATATCCGCTCACGGCGTCCCAAACCAACAAACGTACGGCGAATCGTTAGGATCGATGACTGTTGAGAAAGTAGTTATTGTTCAGCCCGGCTACCTGCAGCAAGTACGTAATGAACAGCAAAATATCGATGGTTTGCTCCTTCCGTATCACAATATGTCCTCCCCGCGATTCCAACTGCACTCCGAAGCGTCGCAACAGTTCCAGCACGTTGTTGACCTTGTTGCCCGAAGTACTGCCGAAAATTTCCCGAATAATCGAGTGATTACGGAAATTGATCAACAGCCAGGCCACGATCCTGTTGGCCATTTCATTCGTGACGATGCCCTGGAAATCAGGAGACTCTTCCCGGCTTGGCGGTGGCATACGTCCCCTGGCAAACATGTCGTTCATAGCCGAGTACAAGCTTTGAATGGCAGGGTTTTGAAACGTAGGCGTTGCTACGGCGGGTGTGGCCGGAGTTGCAATGCTCGGCAGCTGAACCGGAATCGGAAGCCCATTGGATGTTTGCAAGTTCATCACTTGACTCAGCGTTTGGGCGTCTACGTGGACAAACACCGAGGACGATTGCTGCTGGGATGATAGAGATGAGATCTGTGGTTGTAGCTGAGGTGATTGTTGGTTGGTGTTTTGCGTAACTCCGTTGGCGAGAGCAGTGTTCATCGGCGACAAACGGACTTGAATGACTTCCGGTCTGCTGTGCGGAGTTCGAATGGCGAATGCCTCGTTCGGATTGGCTTCTGCGGTGGGTCGGCTTCTGCCGGCGGAATTCGTGTTCCGTGGAATGTTGTTCGCAAACATGGCGACGCGATTCCCAAGAGGTACATAGTTTCGAACTGTCGGCGAATTGTTCCTCAACGAATTGGATCGACTGACCAATGATCGTGGTCTCAGGAAGCTCTCGTTCTCCCTTCGATGTAGGCCAGACTCTAGAATGTGCGAGAACGATTCCTTCGACAATTCGTGACTGGGATAGGTTGGTTTACCGTTTGCGTTGGTGTCTTCGGGTCCCGGTTTGCTATCGACCGTATCCGGATGATCGAATTCCTCCAATTCCGGAACGATCTGGTCGATTTCGATGCGCGGTCCTCGAAGATTGCCAATCGCTCGTTCGACGTCCATGCGTACCTCGGTGGCAGTGAAACGTTCAGTGGGATTCAGCGTGAGCATGGAACGAATGAGTTGGATTGTTTGTGAACTGCAAGTCCGCGAATCGCTGTCACAAAAGGAAGATGATTCGTCAGTAGGGATAGCGGATAGTGTAGATAATGATGCAATACTTACAGAGGAATAGTGTAATCCGCTTGTCGAATCTTCTTGAACAATGCCGAGGGGGTGGTATCGAGGAAGGGGAACTTTCCGAAAACGATGGTGTACAGGATGACTCCCAATGCCCACACATCCGAGGGTTTACCCTTGTATGGCTTTCCTGCCAGGACGTCCGGGGAAATGTACGCCGGACTACCCCGTTGATCGTACAAGTTGTCTTCCTCATTATTGAGATGCTTCGCCAGAAAGAAATTCGTTATGACGACCTTGTTAGTACGACGGTTGAGTACTATATTGTTCAGCTTCAGATCCCGATGGATGATATTGCGCTGATGCAACTGTTCGACCACTTTAACGATCTCGAAGAACACAGTCAGGGCTTCGGTTTCGGAGAACTTGTGCAGCTGCACATACTTTTGAAGATTCACATAGGCGGCTGAACGTTGACAGAATTCGTGCGCGTGGAGACAGTCCAGCACCAGGATCAGGCGGCGCTTCACACGTCCGGTATAGATCCACTGTGCTGCACCGTCGGCGCTCTTGATTTGCTTTTCCTCCAGTGCGTAGTCCTAGGGGTTGAATGAATAATAAAAAAATGTCATGTCACTATTGATTTTCCAAATGACAACGCAATTTGCTATCGAATTGAGTGTAAACCATACAGTATTTATGCTAGATGTGCTGCAGCAGTGAATGAGAATGAGAATGATGCAATAGCTTAACTGAATTAATACTAGAGCTCTCTCAAGGTCATTCCGACCCTTTGAGAAAACAAACATGCGAGTGTATGTTCACGTCTTTTAATGCAAAACAGTTAGTTTGGTGTTCAAAATTAAATGTGTGCAAGTTACTATACAATAAAAATTTAAAAACTCACGCAAAACAATCCATGATGATGAATGACTCCATCAAGATCGGTTAGCAAAGAAAGTAGCGTATATTCTGTGTGCAGCAGCGTTTTTCCTTGCTGCGTCTCCTTGTTAACCATTTCGGTTTCAACATCGTAGCTTAAAATCTGTAAACACAAACAATACGTTAGAACATCCGCAATCACTGCGTTAATTCAAGCGTATCACGCTGAAAAAATAATAATAATTGAGTTAACTCGCACCCACCTTCAACAGGTAGAACTCGTTTGAGTTTTCCTTCCTAGCTAAGTACTGCGTCTGAGGCACTCCCGGACTCGTTCCCAGCTCGTGACCTATCACGTACGGTCCGGCCTTACGTACTCTGGTCCTCTCGACAGGGGTTCCATAACGAGGCACTTTGGCAAGAATTTCTTTGTTTGGCCGTCGAGGCGATCCACCGCCATTGCTAGAGCTGCTACTGCTACCACTTCCGCTCGAACTGGAAGACGAAGACGATGACGATCCGTTGTCCTCCAAAGCAGGCACTTCCTGGTCCGAACGGCTTCTCTTATGGCTGAATCCACTAGTGGTGGATGCAAATTCACCAAACAGACGCTTTCCCAAGATTCTCCTACGCTGCATTGTTTGTTCTCTCACTGAGCGAATACCAGAAAATAAAATTTCACAAAATCGCGCAAGACCTTGCACTAAAAATACGGTTTTTATACGTGACGTTCTAGTGCTCCAGCTCAAAAACCACGTAAGACTTCTGCAACGGGCAAAGAGAGAGTGTCCAGAGTGTTGAGAAAAAGATATGACGAACGCTTCGAACCACTGATTACGCGATTATATGGGGAAAAATGTAACGTATTATTAATACGTACTAGGTTTCACTGAACAACACCGAACGAGCCCGATGATGACTGATCGGACAAGATGCGCTGGGAAGGAAAAGGAACGCGACACGACGAGACGAGAAACTGCTGATGTAAACAAAGGCTGAAGTAGTGTAAACACGGTAAACACAGAGACAGAAGGGGAGATATGATTTGACGTTTCTCTTCCGCTGATGAGCTTTCGCTCTGTTCGTGGGTTCGTTTCCAATTCAAGGAACAAAATGGAAAATGAAGGGTACCACCCAAAGTTAAAATGTACATTGCAATTAACTTTTTTTTTCTCGAATGCCCTGCATTTGAATTTCAACTAATTTGACAGGGAATGGTTGTAAATCAGAGTGATAATGTTAAAAGACTCTCCAGTGTTTGGAAAAACTAAAAAACTCAAACCTCACGCTTGGCGTTAGAAGTGGGTGGGACTGGTAGCACATGTCCCATGCACAAAAATCCCCATGTAGAACAGTCAAAGCAATGTCCAACCCATGATTTTATAGAGAATTTTTTCAAAAATTTACGAACCATTTGAATATTTTTATAACTTTGTATTCATGGCTTCAGATTAGCTCATCATTGTTTCACACTATAGCAAGCACCACATGCGTAGTCCCATGTTCAAGTGCGAAGTTTGTTATCCTCACTTTCGCTCCAGCCAAAAATTTTGGTTTGTTATTGTTATCCTCACTTTCGGACTATCAATACTCGTGCGCGTAGAATGGACTATATTCAAAAGTATTGACAAGCATATTAATGCAAATATTGATGAACAGATTGACTCAAAATGAAAAAAAAAGGTTTGAATTCATGCTTCAATATATCCCCTTAATTTTTCTCTGCGACCCACTACAAGAAATTTTATAAACTCACACCAGGGTTCTCTTCCCAAGGAACATTGTAGGTTTTATCGAGTGTTTTAAAGCATTCAAGCGAAGACATCATATCAAGAAGACTGGCAACTTTGCCAGAATCCAAGCGTCAAATCCAAGTATACACTGAAACAAGTGTTGTAGTAACAACAAACAGCAAATTGCTTTTAGAAATACCATTCACGGAATCAGTCAATTTAAAGAAATTTATTGTTGAAAATACAGTAAATGTTGAAGAAAATACTATGCACCAATGCAGTTTGTCATTCATTTTTGCAGTACTTTTGTATTTAATTTGAAAACATTTATGCAATGAAATTAAGTAAGACATGCATTCTTGCTCATCGCATTGTTGTCAGTTTAAACATGCACATAGTAAAAATAAACACAAAATAGCGATAATTTCAACCGTCAAAATTGTCTCTGGTTCGTGATTCGACAAACGGAGCTCATGAGAACGTCGTATTGAAAATTCATTTTTGTTTTGCAAGTTGCTCGATACGGTTTGTGTTGTTTTTATCAGTTTCATCTTCTTCTTCTTCTTCGCATTTCAAGCTTATTGCATATCGCATATTAGCTTATTGCGTGCTCTCAACCTAGTGTTCCAGATGCACTTCCACAGTTATTAATTGAGAGCTTTCGATGCCTGTACCATTTTTGCATTGGTATAATTGTATGGCAAGTCTAATCATACTTCTATGCCCAGGGAAGTCGAGAAATTTTCCAACCCGGAAAATTCCTAGACCGGGACCGGGAATTGAACCCAGCCACCTCCAGCATGGTCTTGCTTTGTAGCTGCGCCTTTACCGACTGAGCTAAGGGAGGCCCATCAGTTTCAATCTTCTGTTTTACTTATGAACGGAAACGGTGAAGAAAAAGTGGAAACTATAATCGAAGAAATTCTGGCAGATCCAGCACTAAAGGGGGGTCTCAAACACCCCCTGAGTATCTAGACAGAAAACCTTAGTTTCACGTACCCACTTACAAATTGTAGATGTCTCCACCGTACGTAAACAATGGGTTCAGCCATCGTTGGTGGTACAACTTTTTTCACATCAGAAAACATGTTTTTGTTTCACTTCATGTGGACGTCGAAAGCAGGCCAAGAATAAATTTTGAGTGAGACGTATTACTGATGTTGCATTATTTTCCTTATATCTTGGAATTTAATCGATTTGATGAAATCAAAATTCATTATTTTGTCTGGTCTGGTTAATTCCTCGGGGGCATCTGGGACATGCCCGGAACTGACCTGATCCACGGGGCTCGAAATGCCTACAATTCAAATGGTTATTCTTGATGGTTAGAAGAACCGGAACAGCAAAGTTTAAAAGTAGAATGGATTTTATTTAACGACTAGCTTGAGTGGAGTCTTGAACAGGAATGAAAAGTTTTTCACCGTTGTTTATTTAAGAAAACTTAGGTTGCTAGGGGTGACGTTCGGTCTCCAAGGAGGTGATCAGCACACTGCGTTACCGATTTACTCCAACACCCCCCCTGAATCGGTCAGTCCTAGGAGGGTCCTCAGTTCGCGGAAACGTCCAGGTTCCAGGGGCTTGGTGAACGTGTCCGCTATTTGGTTTGCTGTATCAATTGCTTCGATTTGAAGTCTTCCTTGTGCCACATGGTCGCGCAAAAAATGTTGCTTTACATCGATGTGCTTGACACGCTTGATCTCCTGCACCAGGTCCAGTCGATCGCCAGCAATGAGCAAATCGTCCACGTAGATGATTATGTATACCCCCCCTCGATCGTTGATCCTGGTATATAGACAGTAATCATGCCGGGAACGGGTAAAGCCGAAATCCAGTAGAAGGTCGTTTAGCTTGTTGTTCCAACAGCGGGGGCTTTGCTTGAGTCCGTACAGCGATCGATCCAGCTTGCAAACGAAGTTCGGCGGTGCTGCAACTCCTTCGGGTATGGCCATGTAGACGTCTTCTTCAAGCTCACCGTAGAGGAATGCGGTCTTCACATCGAGTTGGTGAACGTGCATCCTTCGGTGGGTTGCTACAGCAAGAACGGTTCGTATCGTGGCTAACTTTGCTATGGGGGAATATGTTTCGTTGTAGTCGACTCCGGGCTTCTGTTGGAATCCCTTCGCCACCAAGCGCGCCTTGTAACGGATCGGTTCGCCATGCTCGTCCGGCTTGATTCGGAAGACCCATTTCGATTTGAGTGGAACCACACCAGCAGGGCATCTCACCAATCGCCAAGCATGGTTGTCCGCTAGCGACTGCAGTTCCTCACGGACCGCTTGCTGCCAAAGAGCTTCGTCGGCTCGTCCAGCGATCTCCTTGTACGCCTCCGGGACATCGAAGATCGAACGCTCGGCCTCATCTCGTCCAACGGAACCGTCAAATAGTACATCGGAAACGTTATGGGAAACATCTGCAGAATGGGATTGCGCGGCAGTGAAAATTTTTCCAACCAGAAATTCTTTCAACTTACCGGGGAGTCTGCGCTCCCGTTCGCTGCGCCTCGGGGTTTCCATTTCGAGGTTTGAACCACGGTCTAGTTGCGAAGGGAGCGCTCCGGTTTCTTCAACACCGTCGTCTTCAACCTCGCCTTCTTCATCAACAGTCAGGATGTCGTCATGTTGAGCCACCAGCGGCTCATCGGGTTGAACGGACTGTTCAGGGTTTGCACGTCTTCCTCATCTTGATCCTCGAACTCGTACGGAGCAACAACCAAAGGAGTTTCGTCACGGATCTGGGTGGCAAACGGAAAACTGTTTTCATCGAACTTGACATCTCTGGCTAGGAATAACTGCTTCTTCTCTTTGTTCCACAGGCGGTAGGCGTTCGGCGCATAGCCGATCATCACAGCAGGCTTGCTTTTCGGATCCAGTTTCTTCCTCTGTACCGTGGACACCCAAGCAAATGCTTTACAGCCGAACACACGTAGTTTACTAACGTCCGGCTTGTGACCAGTCCACATTTCCGCAGGAGTCTTCCAATCAGATACCGCGGTGGCTGGACTTCTGTTCGTCAGGTATACCGCCGCTAGAACCGCTTCATTCCACAGATTCTTCGGAGTTTGGGCTTCAATCAGCATCGCACGCACCTTTTCGACGATTGTCCGATTGAACCGTTCGGACACTCCATTCTGCTGTGGTGTGTACGCTGCGGTTGGCTCGACTTGGATCCCCTTGGAAACGTACCAATCACGCTGGTCATTGGAGCAATACTCGCGCCCTTGGTCGACAGTCAGCTTCGAAATTGAATGTCCCAGAGCGGCACTCGCCATGGCCTCGTACTCTCGAAACTTCTGGAACACCTCGGACTTCTTCTTGATGGGATATACTACTGCAAAGTGCGTGTAATCATCAATAAAGGTGACGAAGTACCGAGAATCATCCCAAGCCGCTGGTGTAATTGGACCGCACACATCGGAGTGCACTCGTTCTAGAGGTCTTGTAGCACGGACTCTAGTACCCGTGAATGGTTCTCGGCACTGCTTTCCGAGAACACAAACATCACAAAAATCCAATTTATCTGGTTTCTCGGGAATACCTGTTACCATGCCATGCTTCGCGAGTGTCTGCAAACTCTTGCTCCCCAAATGAGCCAGTCGACGATGCCACAGGTTACCAGTCACAGCTCCACACATGTTGGCCGCCACCGTATCGACACGGAGATCGAGCTCGTAAAAATCGCCCCGCATGGGACATCTCGCAATCAGGTCACGACCTTGCTTCATGATCGCTTCCTTTTTCGTGAATGTGACATCAAGATCCGCTTTTGCCATCTTCTTCACAGATAGCAAGTTCGCTCGAAGATCTGGTACGAAGAGGACGTTCTTCAAGCTGATATAGTTACCTTCCTTGTTGACGCCGTTGATCGTGCCACTGTGCCGGGAAATCAGGGATTGATCATCCTTCGCCACGTTTATGACGACAGGGTGCTTCAGCTTCGTGAGGTCGGCAAACAGTGCTTCACATTCACAAGGTGGTCCGAGGCTCCGGAATCCAGCTTAAAGGAAACTGCTCCCTCGTCCTTTGTTTGGGAGCATCTCCCGGTCATAAAAGCCACCGCCTTACCTCCAGCAGCAGCGTTAGCTTCAGCGCGCCCATCTGTCTTCAACTTCACACGACAGTCCTTGGCCTTGTGCCCCTTCTTCTGGCAACGGTTACACTTTCCG